ACTTATTCACATTAAAAAAAAAGTCTAATTCTCGACTTTCCTAAACAAAATAAAAAATTCGTAAATGAAGCAACTATCTATCAAAAAAAATAAAATAAGGGGCCTAAAACAAAAGCCACTACTAAATAATAATAAAAAAGAATAAAAAAAAAGAGTGAGGGGAGCTCACATGGAGCTACTGCTTCGTGTGACAGCTCCGTGCACGTCCGTGCAACATGGAGTTGATGTCTCCGTGCTGGATGGAGAATGTCTCCGTGCAGTTAAAATTTTGTTTTTGTGAAGATGCAATTATGGAAACTTTGTTTTTATGATTATAATTAAATCTATGTGCGGTTATAGAATAATATTATTCAACATTCTTGTTTTTAAGAGGATTTTTTTTTTTAAAATTGAATTTATTGAAAACTTCTATGGTTTCAACATTCAAATTACCCTTGTGATTCTTTCCCACAAGTTCCAAAACTGGAGAGATTTTCTCACACTCCGATTATTGCCCCTTTCTCTTATTTCTATTGCAATAACCCCACTATTTTCCACCGATCCAAGAATGTGCCAACAAACAATGAAATTGCAATTCTAAACAACAATGTAAAAAGATAATTTTAATTTATTAATGATATGTATCTCATCATACGATTAATTGTTGAGACTATATTGGTAATCAAAAAAGGTTCAACCTTATTTAATTAGGCAATGATTAAACTTTTATCAATTATTAGGGATAGTGGTTATGAGGGAGTCCTCTCTGCCTCTACTAGAAATCTTGTTTAATTTTTATCATCTTAATACATTTTTTGTGAACAAAATTGCCATCAGATTATTTAATTTATACAAATCAAATTACAAGATCTGAGAAAATATGTATACAAAATGATGATTAATTTTAACCCCTAGATACAATATGTGGAAGGAAAAAAAAAAAAAAAAAAAAATTAAAAAGCAAAATTAAAAAAAAAAAAAAAAAACAAATGGTTATTTTAAATTACAATAAACATATAATTATATAAAAATTACAGAGATTCTGATTTAAAATGTTTGCTGATGATACATGACCGTGGAGCTGCTTGTCTTCGCCCGTATAAACAATTTGTGATGATGGAGTTTGGTCGCCGGTGTTGCAATTTTGGACAAAATTGGATTGAGATATGATCGTGCGTACAAATAAGCTTCTGGGTCAGGATTTAATCAGATTTTGGAGGTATGAGATTGTAGAGTGGGATGCGGAGGTGTTTGAGCTGATGGTTGCATGAAGTAATGAAAGAATGAAAGGGGAAAAAAAGGAAGGCGATAGAAAATTGTTACACATGTCTAGCCAAAGTTTCGCTCTTTATATATGTAGGATATTTTATTTATTGGTCACAAAATATTTGTTTTATTCATAACGATTACCCAATAATTGGTCAAAATTACCTAATAATTTGTCACAACTTATGTTTCAATCACAAATCATAAACTGTATAGATTAAAAATTATCAAATTAATTGTCACAAGTAATTTCTCGATCATAAATTATCAAATTAATTCATCACAACTTATTTATCGATAATGAAATTACAAATTGGAAGTCACAATTACAAATTCTATCACAAAATCTCACATTTTTAGGTCACATATTATTTGATCAAATTATTAAATTAATTGATTACAACTTAACAAAGGTCACAATTACAAATTTAGTGACAATCACACATATTTAAGTCGCGTATTATTTATTGGTTATAAGTTACTCATTTTATTAGTTACAACTTACAAATATTCAATAATTGGTCAAAATTAGCTAATAATTGGTCACGACTTAACTCTGAATCAAAAATCACAAAATGTATAAGTCACAGATTATCAAATTAATTGGTTCATAAATTATTTCTCGATCATAAATCACAAAATGTATAGGTTACAATTTATTTTCCAATCACGAATCGACTTAATGGCTCATTTTGTAACCTTCGATAAAAAATTTTATTGATCATAAGTGGATTCGTGACTTTTATTTGACTTACAAAAAATCAGCTTGGTCACATTCCGTAACCTTCGATAAAAGTTTGGTCATATTTTACGACCACTTTATGATCTAAAATTTAATTACTCAAGTTACGATCATAATCACACATGAACTTATTATCATTGTCACATATCAGTCATAAATTACACAAAATCATGGTCACAAGACAAAATTTTCTGATCACAATTTCAAATTTGATCGTACATTATACATTTTAGGGAAAATTGCAGCAGATGTCCCAAACGTTTCAAATATTAGCAGACTTTCTCCAAACCTTTAATTTGTTACAATCATCACCTCAAACCTTTCGAAACGTTGCAGCGGAGGCCCCTTTGGACGGTTTTCATCCAAATGTCTGTTAGTTGACCATGAAATTTGACTTTCATCATATTTTTAATTTTTTTGGAAGGGTAAAATTGTAACTTTTCATTAACTACATTAAAATAAGTTAAAAATTAAATTTTAAAACATAAAAAATAAAAATAAACACTCTGCATCATCTTCCCCTGCCATTGCCACCAACCGCCGACCAAATATTTTCTGGTAAAATCATTCCAATATACCAGCAAAAAGTGAAATCGTTGGAAATAAAAATCAGAGACCCATGGGCTTGCAGAAAAGAGTAAACATGTCGCCGTCCCCGCCGCCGCAAGCACTGTTGTCCAAGGATTCACCTCCACCAATCAAATCTCACAACTTAGATTACATAATAATACTTGCGGCTCTACTCTTTGCAGTCATCTGCGTTCTTGGCCTTACCATCGTGGTCCGCTGCTACTGGATCCGTCGCATCACCAGCAGAACAGTGGTCGCCCTGCCAGCCCCATCCACGTCTGCGAACAAAGGACTCAAAAAGAAGGTCTTGAGCAATGGATCTGATTGGGCAGCTGCAGTTGTGGCATACTGAGCAATACTGAAGAAGTGACCGGTTGGTGAGGCGCATAGCCGAGGCTTGGGGACAGAGAATATGGAACTCAAGATACGGTTGCGGGAGGTGAAGGAATGGAGAATTGAGGCTAACAACCTTTGGGAAGCCATTGCATAGTGCCGATTTCTATATATAGAGAGAGAGAGAGAGGAAGGCTGGGAAGATGATGCACAGTGTTTATTTTTATTTTTTAAATTTAATTTTTAACTTATTTTAATGTAGTAAATGAAAAGTTACAATTTTACTCTTTCAAAAAATTAAAAGTATGATGAAAGTCAAATTTCATGGTCAACTAACAGACATTTGGATAAAAACTGTCAAATGGTGCCTCCGCTGTAACGTTTCGAAAGGTATGGGGTGACGATTGCAACAAATTAAAGGTTGAGGGAAAGTCTGCTAATGTTTGAAAGGTTTAGAGCCTCCGCTGCAATTTTCCCTACATTTTATTAGGTCACATCTTGTTTATTGATTACAAATATCCAAATAATTAGTTACAAACCTTATTCACGCCCACCCAACCTCATCCCACCCACTCCACCTTTATTCATTACAACCCAAAAGACATATTACACATTATACGAAGTACAAACATGCTAGAAAAGGAATGACACCGAGTTCCACATACAAAAACATCTTTAAATAAATAAAAGCTTAACAACAATCGAAACTTCCAATAGTTGAAAATGGTATTGGCTTCAGGTTTCTTCACCTTCAATTTTGGAACAATTACAGTAGAAACCATTCTTCATTGCTGTCTTCACTTCATTAGCTTTTGCATTTTCGACAAATAGAACCTGCTGAGAAATTTGCCTCTTGCCCTCTCAATCTGATGCCATTTATCATTCTTATTTTCCCTTTTCTGGTGCCCTCTCGCAGCTAATTTGCAAAACCTTACCTTCTTCCATCTCTACTTTCACATCTTCTTTCTTCAGCCTCAAATGATTGGATTTGAAAAAACATGGGCCTTCGGTGTCTCCTTCCTATCTATTCGAACATTGTCCGTGGTGAAAATTTCATTGGTTGATTGAAATCTCATGAGCAACCTAAATCTCCTCGGTCCGTCGTGCCACCTCAAATCATCCACCACCACACAGATTTGAGACAATTCTTTTTCAACATAGTTATCGAGATGCCAAGCTATGTGAATGTGCTGCTTGCCGATTCTCCATCCCACACTNTGCCCTCTCGCAGCTAATTTGCAAAACCTTACCTTCTTCCATCTCTACTTTCACATCTTCTTTCTTCAGCCTCAAATGATTGGCTTTGAAAAAACATGGGCCTTCGGTGTCTCCTTCCTATCTATTCGAACATTGTCCGTGGTGAAAATTTCATTGGTTGATTGAAATCTCATGAGCAACCTAAATCTCCTCGGTCCATCGTGCCACCTCAAATCATCCACCACCACACAAATTTGAGACAATTCTTTTTCAACATAGTTATCGAGATGCCAAGCTATGTGAATGTGCTGCTTGCCGATTCTCCATCCCACACTACCTCATTTACCAGACCCACATGAAAATCATCCTTCCCTTTAAATCTCACTATTGATTTTTGGTAAACCTTGAAGGCCCATGAATTCACATCTCCACACTCGGCCTCGAAGTACTATATATTTCCTCTACTCTGCGTCAAAGCCGGGACGCCACCAAGTTTTGATTTAGGGTTTCGTCGAGAGGGTTAGTGAAGAGTGAGTAGAGTGGGACGATGTCGTGTATGTGATTTTGTGTGATACCTGACTTTTGAAATAATTAACTTAATTTTCATTTTTGAAAAGTCAAGTTAAACACCCGACTATAAGGTAATTTTCTCAAATTACATTGTGAATTTTATGTCCTTGTTTGAGCCTTAATTTTTTAAAATTCATTTTTTTCATAACTCATTTTCGATAATACATTCGTCTAATATAGCAATTTTATACGTAAATTTTTTGCTATTTATTAACCACCTATTCTCTAAAAAATCATTTAAAATCTAATTTTCGACATGTCCGCAATTTTAGAGATGTTTATGTAAATTGCCCTAAAAAAAATACGCCCAAATTCGTAATCCTTTGCATGGCCGGCCCACTTTCGAGAGAAGGCACGAATAGTTTTTACAATGTTTTTAGAGAGAGAGAAAATTTGTAAATCCATTTTAGAGAGAGAAAGTTGGGAAACCAACGAGCACGAAGACGAACGCACCTGAACATTTGTATAAAACTCTCTCTCTGAAACACACAGACACGCACAAACACATGCATATATAATTATAGTTTAAAACCTATACATCTATTTATCTCCCTCTATTGTACTAATTGGAGAAAAGGGTGAATGCTTGGATGAGTGTACAATTTCTAGGGCAAAACATTCGTGCTTGATTTGAGGTACGTTAAAACCCTAGAATTGAGGGAAAATATGTAGAACCGCACACTCTTATCCATAGCTTGTATTTCTCGACTTTCTGATCACAATTCAAGTGTTATTTTCTCATTCCCAGCTTTGAAGCCCTAGAATATGGAGCTCTGCTCAATTTCACACAAGCCCTATAATTAATCCAAGGCATTTTATTTGAATTTTGGAGATATGGATCCTGCAATGCTGGTCATGTGATTTGTTCGCGCATTTTGTTTGAATTACTGTGAACCCATGTTAGCTTCTGCGATGGTTAGCATTTGATTATTTTGGGAATGCCCTGTAATCCTGTATGTTAATTTAGTTGAATTTTACGTTTTTCAAGTCTAGTTGCTTTCTTTTTTGAACTTTTAGTTGTTCTGTCATGGGAGTTTGAAAGCTATAAAGTAGTCACAAAAGATTGTACTAATGCAACTGCACAAGAGCTGAAGTTTTGAATTCTATTTTTGGTATCTCACAGTTTTTCTGCCTAGACAAATTCCCATTTTTGACCGAATTTTGGATCATTTTGGTTGAAGTCTGTTGATCCATGATAGGTGTCCGAGGGTTACCTGATCATTTTAGTCGAAGCCAGTTGATCCGTGCATACGCATTCCACAACTTGCCTATATTGTTCTTTTTATATTTATTTCTACATTTAGTACATATTTTTCATGTGTCAAATAGCCAATAAAGAATTCACAATCTCTCTTCTTACACCTGCTGGTTGCTAGTATTGATGCTATACTTACACGAATATTTCTCTCCTCCTCTGAGTTTGTACGTGTAGCGAGTGCGTACATGTGCACATATATAGTTACCTTGTTAATAGTCCCACTAGGAACATATAAGGGCCAATTTTGTGGGTATCGCCTAATGGATAGTGCAATTGCATATGTTTAGTTTGGTTTCACACTACACATTGTAATAGAATTTTACTTTGAACAAACTGTGTTGTTCAGATGAATTTGGTTTTACAATTTTTAGTTTGTAATCATTTTTTTGATAGTGTTAATGGTCAACAATGATGATTGTTAGGACCTAATATCAACCTAATTTTATAGTAGTTCTCCATATATGATGAATGCATGTTATGTCCTCATTCAGTGTCTTGTAGTATAAACTTATCAGATAAGTCTAAATTGGAAGTGTTTCTTTTGCTTGATGAAAATATTGGTGTTCATTCCAAATTTTATGGTATCAATGCCTTTTGAGACTATGTTTTGAGTCACTACAAGTTGTCCATAAGACCCTCACACGAATAAGGATGTGTATCCATACTGAATTGATAGAGTAGGAAATGACAATATCTGCTGGCTGGTGAAGGTGACAAAAATTGAGGATAAATTAAGTGAATGATGATTTAGGTGGTTGAGACATTCCTTCTGTAAATCTAAAGAAGTTCTTTTCTTAAAGTGTGAAACTATTGCCGAAAATAGGTTAGGAGAGAGTTGTAAACCAAAATTAACGTGGTCCGGTTTGCTGGCAAAATATTTGATATGATTAGATCTTTTGGTAGATCCATTGATAACAAGAAAAGGCATGTAGCCTATTTCTAATTAGTAGGAATAAGGTATTGTTATGTATTACTATTGTTTCAAGTTTATCTTCATTTATTGCTCTAAGATGGATGTGAACTACAGCTGTCATGACGTGTATGAAGTTCAGGCTCATTACTGGCAACTTGCAAATGATAGAATTGATCAATTTGATATTTAATGTCTACAGTGGGCACTTGACAAGTGTACTACTGCATATAGCGGCTTCTTGAAAGTTGCTGGTCTTACTACTTCATAGTTCTTATCCCATTCTCTTCTTAATTTAAATATATTCCACTTTCATTGTTCACATGCAAAGTTTCTATCTGTTGACAATTTTCCAAACCAAAAGCTAAAGAAATTACACCAGGCAGAGACTTGAACTTGATTCTGTTGCTGCAACACAAAAGTAAACATTTGGAAAGGATAATTTGCATCTCGAGGGCTAATATTTTTCTGAATCCTCTTGTTTTACCCACATATCTCTCTCAATATTAGTCCATTAAGGTTCCATGAGGAATTTGTGCCAAGTTTGTGCAAATTTGAGATGTAAATCTCGATTTGTTGATCTGCTTAAGTGAAATATCTTCAATCTTCTAAAGTAATCTTTTCACCACTTTGTCCAGTGCTCATAGTTGTAATGTTCAACTAAATGTCTTTTTGGCATTTTCTGATAACTGAGTCTTCCTTTTCTTTGCTTCTTAGAAGTTTGCTTTAAGTCCTGAATTAATGGAGTGGATCATCTGCTGTTAGCAAAGTAGGAATGCATGGATTTAGTTCTGCATCTGCTCTCTTAGTCAATGCCGAGGTTGATTCTATGGGAGGAGTTGTTGAAAGCAGAGTTGGTGTTGGTAACAAAACTTCTCGGCGATGCGTAGTAATTGAGAAGGTTCAAGCTGAGCTTAGGTAATGCCTCCATCTTTATTTCCTCTTTTTGTATGCCCACTACAAACTTTTGCTTGTTGACAATTTTCCATTCTTCTCATGGCAAATGATAAATTATTTGTGGTAACAGGCAGGAGTATGATGTTCGAGAGGAAAGGAGGAGAGAATTGGAATTTCTTGAAAAAGTGTGTAGCAGTATCTTAATTATTTTTTCTGAATCTTTATTGGATATCTCTGAGTGCTTAATTGCTTCTTAATTGCAGGGTGGAAATCCCTTGGATTTTAAGATTGGGAATGCTGCTTCAGTTAGTGTCCAGTCAACTTCATTAACAGATCACAATCCTGATCAGTTTGTTACCAGGTATTTTCTCTGAGGTTTTGTAGCATCTATGGTTCCAGATATAAGAGTTTATGCTCATCTGATAATAAATTTAATATTGAAGTGAAGCAAAAGGTAGTTTTGCAATTACTGCATCACCTCATGGAGACTCTGTGGAAAGTAGTGGTAGACCTGGGGCACCTCTGTCCTGTGAACCTATTAGTGCTGATAATCTCATGTTATTTTATGGTGAAAATGAGTTTTCTGAAGGTGATCGGAACTCCTTACATCCTCATAGGACTAGCATTGCTCCATCAGGGCACTCACTCCGATTAGATGGCAGTCAGAATCCGAATGAACTTGGGGATTCAGCTACTTTTGGTGTCCCGAGAAAAGCCTATAAGAGGCGGTACAGCTCCAAACCAAGTCGTAATGGAGCTAGGTCAGGTTCAAATGATGTATTTCTAGCTCATGGAGGTCATGGCTCTTTACCTTTGCGCCATGGTCCCAGGGATGTAAAAGTGACAATCTCTTGTGCTGAAAATCAAGAGGACCTAGATATATCATTGAAATGCAATTCAAAGCCTACAAGTCCTAAAGGTGGTGCACTTATCCATAAGACTTCTGTCTCAGAAGGTCAGCAGGGTATGGTGTTGGATGGTGCAAGGGCTGTAGAATCAAGTGAGGACCTGATTAAAAGTGGTTCACCAAATGTTAATAGTTCCAAGTTTCTTCTAGATGGTCAGCTTGGTCAACAGTCATTATCTGTTGCTGACGAAGCTCCTAATGAAATGGCTATTGATGGACTTGTCACATTTGAGGCAAGGGAAGAGGCTATTTCAACAGGTATTGAATACCAACCAACTTTGGCTGCTGTGGAAGTTGAGAAACAATCTAATAACTGTCCAGTGAATGGCGCAAAAAATGATAATCAATATAAAAGTTCAGCATGTGGCACAAAGGGTTTGCATTCTGAGTCATCTTGCATCCATCCTAGCCAAATTATAGATGGAAATAATGATAGTGAAATGCATACCAATGCTGAAGATAATGACTCAAATGGCAATAACAGATATCAAACCATTGTGCCTGATGGGTCGCCATCTATAGAAGGTGATGAATTGGTTAAACAAAATAAAGAAACCAATGCTGATGACCTGTGTACTTCTGTTAATGAGGAATGCAGTCAAAGCCATCAAGAGAATGGTCTTGCGCTAAAAGCCGATGAAGAATTAAATGGATGTGCATCTGCTTTGCAAAATGAGGCAAAAGACCAAGTTATCATTCATGGAATGGAAGCAGGCGTTCCCTCTGGACCAGAATCCGAGAGGCAACCTAATGTCTCTATGTGTGACAGTTTGTGCAATGTTAAGCGTATGGTTTCTCTTGAGTCCTCAAATTCAGAACTTTCTGAGGGTGCAGTGTTGGCTAGGGTTTTTACTGTTACCCCGGAGGGGCAAACTTCTTCTGGTCCTGATCTGAAGTTGACAAGCAAAGCTGCTGAGAACTCAATCTTGGAAGAGGCACAGGTCATAGAGGTTATTTCTTTTTATCTGTCTCTTATTTATGTCCCGATTATGTTGAGCTTGAAGAAAATTGTCATTGACTGTAATGCGAAGCCCCAAAGATGACTTGATATATTGAACAGGCAAAGCGGAAGAGGATTTTGGAGTTATCCACTGCTACTATTCCATTAGAGAAGTGTCGGAAATCTCAATGGGCTTATGTGCTTGAGGAAATGGCATGGTTAGCAAATGATTTTGCACAGGTTTGGTTTTATCAAGAAATCCAAGTCTCTTGTTTTTGTCTTGATTCCTTCTCCCCTTCCTTTTTTCTGGTAGCTTTTGCAGGAGAAATTCAAAGTACCAGATTTTTTTTTAGAACAGAAGTAGCTATAAATTCTCTTTTCCTATAATCAAATTCAATTCCAGGTTTGTCTTTAAGATGCAGTTTCTATAGCCTTCATGTTTTAAAATCATTTCTTTCCACATAGGAGCGTCTTTGGAAGCAAACTGTTGCTGCTCAAATATGTCATCGAGTTGCTTTTACTTCTCAGTTAAAGAAACAAGAAGAAAGTTTATGCATGAAGGTAAAGCAAGTTGCTCATTCCTTGGCAAAAGCTGTCATGAAGTTCTGGCATTCAGTAGAGGTATAAAATTGGATACTTCCTTTGTTTTTTTTGTTGGTTGTTTTGATGCAGTTTATTGATGTGAGATGGCATTTTTCATCTATCATCGTGCACAAGTATCTCATTCAGTTATGGGCTGCAGTTGTGGTTCAAGCTTTATTTCACTTTTCCTCATTGTTGTAAAGAGTAAATAAAATTCTAATTAAGTCACAATTTTCTTTGAATATCTCAATTGTATTCCTTCTTTAAACTTTTGGCTGCTTAGTATAAGTTGAAGACCCGCCGAAAGGATATGTTGGTTAATGAATTATACAAGGAAACAAACATGATTTGATGGAATAATTTATGTATTTATGTAACTCTATGCATGTAATGAACTCTTAGTAGGTCATACGAGTTTGTAGTTGGATGATATCTTACCACTCATTGTTTTTACAAGCTCCATAAAATTAACCAGAACGTGTCTCTGGTTTTGCCCCTCGTGCAAGGCGAGGGGACAATAAAAATGTACATGTAAAAGGACTGACCTATTTCAGATGTTTATATATTTTTTAAAGCATCATTCTAAAAAAACTTCAGTACGTGTGTTTGAATATGAAGCTGCTCTTGTTTCTCACCAAATGCAGTTGGGAATGTGGGAGTTCATCGACTTGTTTCTCATCAAATTTTTTGCTTGTATTCATATACCTTTTGTTTTTGTCTGGTTGCGCCTCCTGAATTTTGTGGCTGTGTTCTGCTATATTGCGAATGAAGTTA